GGCCCCACCGCCCTCCCAGGGAGGAATTTCCCCTTAACACCCAACTTGAACCTTCCCTCCTCCACCTTAAGACCATTCCCCTTCATCCCACCATCAGTGCCCACGGAATGCCCACCCCTGAGCCAGGAAGGTGCTCGGGGTGCCCTTACCCACGCAGATGGTGCCAGTGGGGTCCAGTTTGCTGCCCGGGGAGCACTCGCAGGCGAAGGAGCCGGCGTTGTTCCGGCACACGCCGTTCACACACGGGTTGGACGTGCACTCGTTGATGTCTGGGGGGACAAAGGGACAGTCACAGGGGGACAAAAGGACAGTCACCAGGGGGGATAAATTTCTGGGTCCAAAACTGGGGGAGGTGGCAGCAAAGAACGTGGAGGTTGGCGGTTTTAATTGAGCTTTTAAGTTATTTTTTAAATATGGGAATGAAATAAAAGATATGAAAAATAATATGTGAAAGATGTAATACTCTGTGAAGGATATAAAATGTATAAAATGTGAAATAAATAGCTAAAATAGCTAAAATATAAAATACAATATATATGTATATATATATGTAAAATTATAATTTACATTATATATGTAAAATATATAATAACCTATGAAGGATATGTAAGGATATAAAATGTGTAATATCTAAATATCTAAAATATCTAAAATAGAAAATACAATAATATGTAAAATATATAATCATCTATGAAGGATATAAAATGTATAAAATGTGTAATATATAAATATATTAAATAGTTAAAATATAAAATGCAATAATAGGTAAAATGTATAATAATCTATGAAGGATGTGGAAGGACATAAAAGATATAAAATGTGTAATAAATAAATATCTCAAATAGTTAAAATATGAAATACAATCATATGTAAAATATACACTAATACATGAATAATATGTAAGGATATAAAATATATAAAATATAACAACACATATATACTAATATATGAATATGTGAAGATATAAAATATATAAAATCTATAGTATAAGAAAATATAAAATATAATATGTAAAATACAATAATATTTAAAATGTATTGTAATCTATAATACGTAAGTATATAAAATATAGAAACTGAATAATATATAAATATATAAATATATCAAATATAATAAGACAGAACATATATAATACTATATTAATAATATATAAATATATTAAATATATAAAATGTACAGTATAAAAATAAATTACCTCTGCCACCTGTCTGACCCCAATGTGAGGCCACACAAAATTGGTCATTTTTCACCTCCTTTACAGAAAATCTGCTGTTTCTACTGAACTTTCCTGTGCCAAGTGCCAGTTCTCAAATATCTGAGGACTTTGCAGACAGGAAACAATTTCTCCCACTCCAAAACCCAACCTTTCAATCAAATGTCCTAAAACTTGCAATTTTGGTCAGGCTTCAGCTAAAATTTCAGGGGCCTGGAGGAAATGGTTCTGGTTTGCAGGCACTGAAAAGCCCAGATGTTCTGGGTTTGGGTGTCCACTCCTTTGATGGAAGTGTGAAACTTCACCCTTAGGGGAAAAAAACCCAAACCCACAAACCCAAAAGCTGGAGATGAAATGACCAAACCCACAAACCCCAAAGCTGGAGATGAAATGACCAAACCCAAAAACCCAAAACCCTGGAGATAAAATGACCAAACCCAAAACTTGGAGATAAAAAGACCAAACCCAAAAGCTGGAGATGAAACCATCAAACCCACAAACCCAAAACCCTGGAGATGAAACCACCAAACCCA